TTTTCAACCTTATTTTAAAAAATAGTTATTTTCCAAATTGTTGGAAGACCTATATTTGTCCAATTTAAAAAAAAAATGACAAGAACAACATTTCCAACTATCGGCCAATAACAATCTTAAATAATTTCTCAAAGTTATTTGAAATAGTTATCCATAATCACTTCTCTTTTAAACTCAGGCAAATAATTATTTCAAATCAGCATGGTTTTATGTCAAGAAGGTCCACTATAACCAATTTATTCTTCAAGACACAACTAATATCTGAGGCACTTGATAGTCAAATATACAGCGAGCATCATAAGTCTTACCCCCCCTATCTAACTCGTTACTGGAGTATGGTTAGGAAAATCGCCGAGACACGTCGATTTTTGATTTCTACTATGTACATTTTTGTTTGATTAGTTTACCCTTAGTTTCGTCCCTTGGTAAAGGAAAGCAAATCTTTCGAAAAATTTAAATGACATTTTTATATTGCGTTATAAACTAAGACAATGACAACAGCTGTAAACTGTCACACGTATTTCAAAAGTAACTTGATAGTTTCTTTTAATGAAACTTAATTGAATTACCCATGAACCAGACTTTATTAGTAGAACATTAGTGGTCATCAAACACTTTAATGATAAGCCAAATAAGATATACACAATAACGACTTAAGAAGTCTGTTTTTCCTGAAGGTGCAAGTAGTTTACGGATTCCCTTAGTTACCTTCGTTGCTTTTAGATTCAGTAAAACTCAATATCAAAAAATTAACCTTTAATATATTAACACTACTTATAAATGTGGTAAACTACACAAGAACAAAAATTATGGTGCAGAATGTTCGTACATCAAAATTACCTAACCAACTCTTAACTATGTGGCCAGAAAATTAATATTTTAAATATCAAGGTGCCACCACCTGTTTTATTTTAGCTAAAATAATTTGGATAGGTGCTCTTAACCTAATATAACCTAACTATAATAGAAAAAAAATTAATCAGGGTTTTGTTCATAATTGTACTCAACTGTAGGTACTATTAACTTTTCAATAAAAAAATAATCAAAGTGGGTACGGTACTTGTGTTATGGTGAAGTAGCGATCTGACTCAGCCCTGCACGGTGTTAGTGATGGCAGCTCCATTCATGGTCAACAACGCAGCAACCCAATCCAACATCCATGCGGCCGTATTAGTGGGGTGAAGCACAAAGCACCAAATTTCCAAACAGACAGATTTTATTTGTGAAGCACCAGACAATAAACGTGGATACTCAAATTTCTCCAAATATGGCACCTAACTAGCCAAGACGAGCAATAATTCCAAAAGCAAATCTACCGTCATAATTAATTTGACATGTTATCTCGACATTAAATTTTTTTTTTGGTTGCAAAGTGCATCTAAGGATTTTACAGGGTGGCAGTAGTCAAAAATTGACAATTAAATTATTATTAATAAAGGTAACTAATATTTAAATAACAGTCTATAAAGACTGTTAACACAAAGAATACTAGCCAAAATGTTGTGAGTTTTCACAACAACCCATAACAAACTGTGAATATTGTGGTACTATTAACCCCTTTGTTATAATGGCAACAAATGCATAGTACCCAACTGTACCATGTTACTACTATGGCAACACGTTTACTAAAAGCACTTAATGCTGCTTTCATGGGTCAGTATAATTTCATTGATAGTGTTTTAGACCTGGTATATTCAAATTTTGTAGTGGGAGTAAATTTTTGATTGGTGGTCCCAAGGTCATGCTGGTGGGAAGTACATAAATGGTTTTGATGCAAAGTTTTCGTTCAGTTTAGTTGTTGCTCTTATGGAGTGTAGTCGACTGGTCTGAAAAATGAGTAGTGCAAGCCTTCTCAGGACTCAGGCTGTAAAAACAAACCAAGTACAGATGAAAATGATGACAGTAGCAGTCTCTCTAGCGTATGTGATTATTCTGATGATGAACAACCTGTAATGATGGGTGATTTTTCTGTGATAGCAGACCCATTTTCTGTTATATTTCTTGTATATTTTTTTGTTAGATCTGTAAAATTTATTTTGTTTACAGGACACAATGCCATCTGTGCTCTTGCCCTTTACAAGCCATTTTCAAGGATTTCATCCTGCTGTAGATTTAAAAAACATAGAAACGTCTATGGAATGCAAATGTCTTTTGATTAGAAGTTATGAGTAAATCAAGATTTTTCTCGATCCTAAAATGTCCACGGAAGGCCCATTACGCGATTAGCTATGTTATTTGCTCATATAAAGGAGAACTGTATGAACCTTGTGGACCCGGGAGAAGTTATCGCCATTAACGAATGTTTAGTCCTGTATAAAGGCAGGCTGCATTTTAAGCAGTTCAAAAAAATGAAGCGATTGCGCTTTGACATAAAGTTATTTTGTGTTTGCCCAAGTGACCTTTCATTGCGGGACTACACTTACACTTTCGCATTATATTTTATAAAAAAAAAACATATAAAATTGATTACATCCCCGGAGTAGATTGTTTGAGTTCGTCTAAACAAATATTGTCGACAACTGATATATGTCTCTAAGATTGGCAGAATTTTTACTAACTCAAAACAGAGGTGTGCCCAAGAAGTTAACTGAAGTACCTTTACAGACATTTCAGACATGTTTTGCAAAAAACGGAGACGTACTGGTAATTAGGTATAAAGACAAACAAGATGTCTACTTACTGTGCACAAAACATACGGCTGGATTTGCAGAAAAATCCCGCTACCACGTTAATGTTCAAAAACCGTCAACTATTAACCATTATAATGTGAACATGGGAGTGGTCGACGGGGTGGACCAGGATGTAGAACCCTACAAGTGTATCAGAAAAAGCTACAGTTGGTTTAAGAAAATAGGTTTTCATATCATACAACGAATGGTATTAAATTCTCGAGTTATGTATTGCAATGCAAATGAAAAAAATACTAGCATATTAGGTTTTACCAAACTCCTAAAAAATGAACTTTTATCTGAATAATGTGGATGTTACAAAAAATTGAAAGAAAAGTATGAAACAACTAATAAAAAAGAGACGAAAATAAATAAACATATTTTGGAGTTAGTGCCCAGGGAACCAGAGAGAAAAATGGGAAATCTGTTATAAATCCAGTAAAAAAGAACTTAAGCAAGCAATATCTGCAAAAGTTGTCCAGCAGCTCTAATTTACTTGTGTTCTAAAGACAATCAATGTCTTAGGAAAACTGTAAATTTATTGACTTTCATTTTTTTTATTCCAAAAGCAGATTTTTGTTATTTGTGATAATTTCAAAGTTTGACAAGAATTTATTTTCCGTTTATGACACTACTGTTGTTTTATAAATAAATATTGTGTTTTTTTTTTTTATTATAATATTTGTTTTGTTTTCGTATTATAAGTAAATATCTAAAACTCGAAAAAAAATTGATTATAAATAAATATTGTTTGTTACTTTATAATAAAATATTATTTGTTTTTTCTTGTCGTATATAACCCTATCTTTGTATCATAAGTAAATATCTAAAATTAGAAATAAAAAAAAAATAAATAAATATATAAAAATAGAAATAAAAAAATATATTTTTTTTTATTATAAATAAATAACTATTGTTTTTTTGCATTATAATAAAATAATATTTGAGTTTTTTGCCGTTTATAACCCTACCCTTGTATCATAAGTAAATACCTACCTAAAAACAGAAATTAAAAACAAAATGTTTGTGCAAATCTGGTATAATATTGTAGATAGCGAAATCGGTCTAGCAAAGAAGTTAAGATAATAATATTGTTTTATGAAGGAAGATCAATATTCTAATATGAATATTTTGTTCCTCTTGAAGAAAAACGTTTTTATATAATATCGACGATTCCAGAATCTAAAGTCATCACCTATTTAGGTCAATTTATTTTCAATAATTTCGGAACGTGCCTGACAATTGTTTGGGGGCATCATTCCGTCCAAATCCTTTTATTCCAGAGATTTATAATGCCCCAGAGTAAGGGTAGCTATGGTCCTTAACCCCTTTTAAGGGCCCGAATAAGTGGAACCACAAATTCCCTTTTGTGTGTCACGCTTTTGTCGAATGACAAAAATACCTTTTGCTTCTACGCAGATTGGGGATTTGTATAAAATGAATGAAAAATCTTTTGTCAAACAAGAGATTTTCTGGTTGATCAGAATATAAATGTTTGGAAAAAATAGGTATGAGATAGCGGAGGTTATTCAACTGGAAACTCACTTTTTTAATATGCTTTGCTCTTAAATTATGTTAATTTCATTTTATCCACATACATTTGTAATACATTTAGGAGTTTGAAAAGCTTTCAAGTGGGATACATTTTTTATCAGTGGCATAATTAGACTCGGTGATTGGGAGGGTTTTGGCACTGGCTTATGTGAAAGGAAAAAAATAAGTATATTAATTAAAAAATAGAAATTAAGTAATGAGAATAGAAATCTGAACATGGTGATGACATGAATTGTCTTTAGTAACTTATTAATTACCTTATGAAGGAAAATTTTAACATTTCTTTAAGATGTCGATTTTAAAACCAAATTTTAGTTTATTTTCTGCCGATACTCAATAAATATGGTGTTACGCATTATTTAAAGGTATTACGTAATTATTTTGATCTGATGTAATAATCCTAATTAGTGATTTAAGCTCAGTCGTGGATAAGTGATTATATTTGTCCCTGAACAGCTAAACCTAATCTCGGGTTTAGACCTCTTTACAATAATAGATAATTAATAATAATCAATAAAATATATAAAGATAAAATAGTTAAACATGATATGTGCCAAAAGGGGCCAAAGAAAAGATAGTTTTGCCTTAAGCGCCACCAATATGTTTTACAATTATTATGATAATCGCGGGAAAAATTGGAAACCCAGTCTTGGGACAATATAATCACTTTATGAATATTTCCTCTGTCTATCTGAAAAACTTAAAGGATAACCAAAAAATGATATGATGGAAACTAAATTAAAAATTAGTTTATTGCCATTGATAAGTGCACATTGGTCAATTTAATAGAATACGAGATTTCGCAGGTGTGGTACTTCTCTGAATCATTCTTGTTTCTTGGATCATTGAGGAGGTTTCTGAAATGCTTTCTGAGTAATTTAAGAACTCCGTTGGATGGTTGACAACATCATCTTGGTTAGTAACGAAATCAATCGATTTGTATAATATTAATTTGCCAGCTATATTATTTTGAATCTGGAAATTCATTTCGTTGACATCAACGTTTTTTGCAGCCAATATAACTCTTTCGCTCAACCATACATGATTTTTGTAATTTTGAGCAATGTTTGGGAAAACCTTCTCGATGAGTTGTGTCTTTGTTTCAGTAAAGTGACAAAAATTGGTAGAAAATGTCAATGACGATGAGTCAACAGGTATTTTGTCATTACCAATATCGAGCATTTGTTTGGTAAAAGCTTCTCCAGATTTCTCGTTCTGCAATTTGTCTTGCATGTTTATATTTAATTTGAGCGTTTTAACGTCTTTCCATAAAATGCGTTAAGTTCGTCGGCTGGCATTGATCGTGGTATTACTGGTAGTGTTTGGCGAAAATACGGCGATGTGAACTAAGAAATTTAGTTTTTGTTAGAAATAATAAATTAATTAATTTATATGTATTTTATCAATATAATAACTCCGATCGAAGCATCTGTTTTAAACGATACTAATTTTTTTTACATCCTGTTTGACGATATTTGCAGCACGCATTATGTCAATGTTAAGTCAAACGCCATAAGGTTACATCAAAAAAGTTTGAATTGTAAAAGCGCTATGGTTACATTAGAAATAATTTAATATGATGGTTAAGTATTCTTAAATATTCTAATTTTCCGCGCAATTTTCTTATTTTTTTTCTTTTATAAGAACCTGCTCCTGACAATAACAAACACAACAAAAAAAGAATTAGCGAAATCGGTCCAGCCGTTTACGCGTGATGCGTTGACCAAGGAAAATAGTGATTCATTTTTATATTATTCTTAAATTTTCTAATTTTCGCGCAATTTTCTTAATTTTTGCTTTCATAAGAACTTTCTCCTGACAATATCAAACACAATAAAAAAAGAATTAGGGAAATCGGTCTAGCTGTTTGCGCGTAATGCCGTGACCTAGGGAAATAGGCATTCATTTTTATATTATTCTTAAATTTTCTAATTTTTCGCGCAATTTTCTAAATTTTTTCTTTTATAAGAACCTTCTCCTGACAATAACAAACACAACAAAAAAAGAATTAGCGAAATCGATCCAGCCGTTCATGCGTGATGCCGTGACCAAGGGAAATAGGAATTCATTTTTATATTATTCTTAAATTTTCTAATTTTTGCGCAATTTTCTTAATTTTTTCTTTCATAAGAACTTTCTCCTGACAATAACAAATACAACAAAAAAAGAATTAGCGAAATCGGTCTAGCTGTTTGCGCGTGATGCCGTGACCAAGAAAAATAGGGATTCATTTTTATTTTATTCTTAAATTTTCCAATTTTCCGCGCAATTTTATAAATTTTTTGTTTCATAAGAACTTTCTCCTGCCAATAGTAAACACAACAAAAAAAGAATTAGCAAAATCGATCCAGCCGTTTGCGCGTGATGCCGTCACCAAGGCAAATAGGGATTCATTTTTATATTATTCTTAAAATTTCTAATTTTTCGCGCCATTTTCTAAATTTTTTCTTTTATAAGAACCTTCTCCTGACAATACCAAATGCAACAAAAAAAGAATTAGCGAAATCGGTCCAGCCGTTCACGCGTGATGCCGTGACCAAGGGAAATAGGTATTCATTTTTATATTATTCTTAAATTTTCTAATTTTCCGCGCAATTTTCTTAATTTTTTCTTTTATAAGAACCTTTTCCTGACAATAACAAACACCACAAAAACAGAATTGGCGAAATCGGTCCAGCCGTTCACGCGTGATGCCGTGACCAAGGGAAATAGGGATTCAGTTTTATATATAAAGAAGATTACATGTACTAAAAATGTTATGAAAATTTTAGCGTATATCATTCTCTTTAAACTTTCCACATCGTATAAGTGAATTATCGAATTAACTTCTACCATTGCAGATTTATTCGCGAAAACATTACCTAAGCTAACATAAATTTAGAAATTGATAAAATTATGTTTGGCTTCCTTGCACGGCAGCTAAATGAGTTTGGGTACGTTGCTGGAGAACAGGAAGTAATTAAAATGTACATAAAAAGAAGTAGCTTCTGCATGGTTGAGAAAAGTTTTTGCTGATGTCAGTCTCCAGGGAGAATCTTTAATAGTTTAACTCAACACTGCATTTTTTTCTATTCCAGTCATTATCGATTTTATTCATTTACTACGATAGAATGCCGGTAGCTGGAATTTTTTGGAACGAATAAAGCTAGTAGTCGATTTTGATAACAGAATTTACTTTTTTAGACAAACGAGTTGTATTCAGAATGAAATTTTATATAAATAAATATTGTAAAAATGATAGGTCGGTATTTAAATATTTTTACTTATGCTATAATTGTTTTCATATCTTGTAAAATAACAGTTGCAACTTGGCCCGTTTTTCCGATGAAAGAAACATTTTTATTGTGGTTAATTTTAAAACACCTATACAATCGATTATACATAGAATATACGTGATAACATATTAACAAAGTACTTAAGCTTGTACAAATAAATGCAGCTAAGTGACTTAACACTTGTATATGTCCAAGAAAAAAATTAAGCTGAATCTGTATATGAATAATGTTTAAAATGGTTTACCAGTTACGACAGAATTTGAACTACCAGCTTCCAGAAATTCTAGAACCCAAAAAAGATATTGTTTCCTACAAAAAAGAAGTAGGTTTAGTTAAAACAGAAATAAATAATATAAAAACTGAAAATGATGATCTAAAAATACAAGTTTCAATAATAAGAAAAGAAGTTGACCATGCATAACTAAATAAATCGGAGCCACCACTATTAATGAGGATATTATCAGGGAGTTAATGGAACGTAAGAAGAGAGAAGCGAACATCATGATAGTCACTGAGAGGGAGTCTCAAGCTGCCGGAGCATTGGAGAAAAAAAAACAAAGACATAAAAGTTGTTCGAAACTTGCTTGAAGATCAAAATGTTAACTCTGATGCCTTAATAGTCTCCAGAGTCGGTGAAGTACTTCTTAACAAGAACACAGTGTCTAGGTACACGCTAACTTGTATGCAATTTAATAAGTTATATACAGGCGAAACGTCTTGACAGAAAAGATGAGCTGTGTCTAGGCTGCTGGTGTTTATGCCAGTCGGCGTATCCAGGTATGGAATTTTCTTACGAGAAGTCGTTGTTTCGTTTTCTTGTTGTAATGGCATTATTATTTGTTCATGTATGTGAAATTTGCTTCTAATATTTATAAAACACTACTGCTAGTCACGGCGTAAATAAAAACAAACAAGACGCATTCACACAAACACCTCCCACCACAGCAATATGACGTTTTGCGTGTATATAATTTTTTGATTTGTGTACACTTTAACGTATACGAAGCAACAGCGTAACAAGAACCGATTAATCAAAGTAATAATACAAAGCAAAAATGATGCCTAAAAACAATGCAAATATTCCTAGAGGTATTAAGATATTTGGAAGTCAAACACAGCAACAAAAAGAATACCACAAACAGCAACTCGTACAGTTCATCAAATTTCTAGAGGCTTTCGACGGCTAGACAGAGAAAGCACTACTGACAGGCATCCCGACGGATTTACGCAATGAAAGTACACTCTGCGTATCAAGTATTTCACTATTTCATTCAGACGTAAATGTCAGATGTAAATTTCGCTAAAACATTTCTTTTATTTTCGTTTGTGTTTTTTGCTCATTACAGTTTAATAGAACCTAAGTATGGAGTTTAATAGCAAATTAAGAGGCCGCGTTGATTAACAGTCAATCTCGCGAAATAATAACCAATGTTATAGAGTTTATGAGAAGAGAAGGAAACTTTAATTCACCTTCAATACCATTTAAAAATGTAAATGATCGTGTTGCTGCAGCCACAGGAGTATCTAAAAACACTGTCGTCCGCATTTCTGGAGAGAAAGAAAGAATCGATAACCGTGAGATATCGGAATTTTCATCACCAAGATAAAACCATTAAAAAACCAAAAACAGTTAATGATATAGATGAAGCTGCACAAGAATCAAATTTTATTTTTTTATTATTAGATAGCTATTTTTGTTTCTGAGTTGTGTTCATTTACAGGCTCAATTTTTTTCCGTTTCTCCTTTTTGATTTTATATGGGGTTTCAAGTTGTTTTTTACTTATTTCGACGTAAATCACAACAACACACTTTTTTAATAAAGCAAACAAGTGTTAAGAGGTATATGTACGTGTAAACTACAATTACAAAAAATTGATATGAAACCCATGAAACCACCAACAAAAATGTAAAGCTAGCTTCCGTACTAGAACATGGTGTCATTCGTCGAGATAATTTATCGTTTTGTTTAATAGATCAAGAAATGTAAATATTGCCCTGTTATTTTTTATAAAATTATAAGAGAAATAAATTTTTTTCTAAATAGTATAGTTTATTATTTTGTAGAAAAACAAAATTTCGAAAATTTTAGTAATGTTTCAGAAACAACCGTTATTAATATTAGGTACCATTTTCCTTAATAAGGTAGAAATAAAATATAAACTATTTCCACGATTTACAAAGGCCTACAAAAAAATTATAGGTATTTTCCGCTATCCTATAAAATTTATATTTTCTGACTCAATTTCAAAAGGTTGAAGGAATTCCAAAACACCTTTTATGGCATAATAATTATTTTCAATTCTACATACTATCTTTAGCTGCTTTTAAAAACGTTCTAAGAAAGTCCAATCAGACCAATTTAATCCCTAAACTATTCCACACTTTTAAAATTTAATTACCTAAAAATATTAAAAACTATTTAAAATAACTTGTTTAGCAGACTGTACAATAGCTATCTTAGTCACACGTAGCGCGTTCTCTGTCTGGGCGTCGAACACCTCTAGAAATTTGATGAACTGTAGAATTCATATGCCATGGTGACAATACAAAAACCATAAAATATATTAACAACGCCATCCATTGTCAATAAAAATTAAAACAAAAGAAACTAGTTTTATATCCTACCATACCTCTGAGATCAGATTTTATTTATGCCAATATAGAAAGCGTTATTCTTCATAAATTATTGTTAAAATTTTACCTTATCAACCTTTAAAAATTCAAGTATGATAATATAAGTTTGTTAGTTGGTTCCCTTTATCATTCTCCAAGCTCTAGTCATTCAGTACTCCTGGAAGAATTTAAAAATATTATTGAAGATATATCAGGTTCTATAAATAAATTTATTCTGGAATGTGATTTTAATATTAATTTTGAAACTAGTTCCATTTATTTAAAACGTTTTAAAAATTTATTAAACATGTTTGGTGTTGATTAAAGTGTTACTGAATGTACGA